AACAACCTAGGTTGGAGGTATGGATAAACCACTCCCTTAAAGACTATATTATATATATATATAATTATTTGTTTCTATTAATATGTATAAATATATATATATATGCATATGGGGACTATGATACCACACCTTTGAAACACTATATGTCATATTATTATATATATATATTGTTTTGCTTGAACTCTATAGCTGTGCCTCAGCCTGGGAGGGTGTCTATAGCATCAATGGACCAAGCATTGATGTTGGGAGAGACAATGCACTTAGTGCAACGTGATATGCGCTGGACATCGGAGAACAAAAGAGCCTTACCAACAGTGATCCCAAATTGTTGTGATAAACTCCACATTACTTGATGCTCCAAACACACCTCCGCAGATTGCAGCTTTGCTGAACACCTACTCTCTTCACTGGGCCGTGGGGTGGCTTGGATGCAACAATATATTTAAAGGTTTAAAGAAATGTTTGAATGATTGATAGATCTGCTAGTCAGTTTACAGAACAAAATGGGGTGCTGGATCTGAGGCATCTTCAGCTGCGGGGCTGCAAGAAGCTGCTCTTGCTGTGGTGAAGGATGCTTGTGTGGCAATAAACCTGTTCTCTTGACATGAAACAATGTAGTTGTTGGAGTCTTTGGTCTGTGAACACCCTCCCCCATCCACACATTAGCTATATCCAAAAAAACAACTCATGCTTCATATGTAGTTTGCTGTTGCTCTCTTATACAGGTGTTGCCAATGGGGATGATGCTGACAAATTTGATTTCGAACTCATTCATTACTTTGATCTTTGGGTTTCTTATCCAAGGAAAGTGGAGGCCATTGCCATGAGCTGACAAAGAAGATCGCAAAGACTGGATGTTCTGGCAAATGGCCGGCAAACATAGAGCGCGACCTCATGTCTGCATTGGACCTTCCAATCGCTTCTTGGCTGGAAAGTTGCTGTAATTCCTCCTGTTTCTTGGCCTTCACCACACTGACGCTTGCTTTATTGCAAGTGACTTTTGCCAATTTGGAGAGGAGCAATCGTTTGGCACCATTGGGAACTGCGACGAACAGTTCGCTGCCTTTGTAAGCCCCCATGCCAATGATCATGCCGTGCTGTCAATTTGTTCAGCAGCGGGTTGAGGAAATGTATTTCGTTGAGGTTCCCATCAAGGATCTCACCTCTGATGCACCGAATGCAAGGACAACAGCAAGAATCCCTATAGCACTACCCCATGAATTAATATGCTATTTGGTTGTTGCTTGGGCAGCAGTCGTCCATGGGATGAGGTTACATGCTCTCTGGGTCCCAAGTATACACACATATATTAATTGGTAGAATCCAAACACTGATCCATTTTGGGGGGAAGATCATGATAAATGTGTGCTTCCAACAATTTTGGACATATAGAAATATTTTGGAACACATATGATATAATATATATATAACTCATGGTGGTGTTTATCTCTATCCATGATCTGATGTACCCTGTAGAATTTGTTTCCCTTGAAGTATTCCATCATGGCTGGTATATACTGATAACCATTAATGAGGTGATTCATTTGATCGTTGCGCAACTATTCATCATCAATCCAATCATGTGGGTGTTTGACAAATTCTTTAATTTGGGGAACTATATGTGCTAAGCTTTCATACCATTATGGTTCGGATCCCTTACTATATATATAAATATTTCATTATATTTATATATATAATGACTAAGGATCTTCCATTCATCTTCGAAACATGTTGAGCCAAGATAGCCCTTTATGGTGGATATCCCCACAATGATGGTAATCCTTTCTGGCTTTGACCACCCTCATTTTATAAACTAAATAATTTAGGGGATATGTAGCCTTTCAGAGTTTTGATCACCATCTGCTGGTAATGTGCCTTGGTATGTTGTTGTTGATGACGGAACCTGGGCCCATCGATCTAAGGATAGTGGCAAAATCAAATGTGCCCGCAAGGACGTGGAAGAGTTTTGGTGTCATTGGGAACGTCATGAACCTGTGAAACACCCAGCTTGTGAACAAAAGCGGCATGTGCCAGTTGGCTTGGCTGGTGATGATGCAAAGTATACCCTTAGTGGTTCCAAGTTGATAGTGATGCTGCTGAGTTTCCCCCTTCAGGATGTGATGCGAACCCTGGACTACTATTGGTCAAATATTTGTTTGATCCCTGAAACCCACAAGATTTGTTTTATTTTGCAACAGTTATGATTCAACTCTTTGTTTGTGATCCAAGGATTGGACCTAGCACGGTTTATATTCTTCACATTGAGGTATGAACTTTCACTGGGACATGAGAGCCTTGACCCAATACTTCGTGTGGTGGCATGGAGCCTGAATGTGTTTCGGCATGATTATATATATATACATATATGTGTGTGTTTTTGTTATTATACACCCACCCAATTAATCTGACACAACTCCTGGGCCTCCTTGCTCAGAACTCCAGGCGGCATATCTGGGACAACAGCCTACAATTGGGCCGTTTGGCAACAAGCTGGACAAAGAGAGAAGTCGAGTGGCAGGACAGCAAATGGGTGGATCCTATGCCTTGACAGAAATTCGAGGTGATTGGAAATGGCATAGGGAGCTATGGGATCTGAAAAGGCATTACAAATGCAAAGACCTATGTCATCTGTGTTTTGCAAGCATACATGAGGGACCCACCCAGTACTTTGGTCTGCATTGGGGGGTAGTCAAACAAATGCCTGACATATGAGCAAAGCCATACACCTAGCTAAATATGTTTTGGGCCTCTAGCGTCATGCACATGTCCACTAAGGTATACGCAGTTTGAAGCTATGCGGAACTTTCCAAGGATGACTGTGGCGCAATGGTACCTTTACAGCCTGAAGGACTATGTCAACCCACTATGTGTCTCCTGGCATTAATTGGAGTGCAATGCATTGGACTTTGTTTTTAAGCAAGCAACCAGCATTGAACTTAAGAATCATTGTTTCCCAGGCAGTCACGGGATTTTGTCCGTGGATGGTGAAGTATTGCCGCTGCCTGGCTGAACATCTATCGTGGTTCAAAGTGAATGTGGATTTATGTGGATTTGTTCAAGTGAAATAAAAATCAGCTGGCCAACCCCTCCATGCCCAGGCATGCATACAGTTCACCTTGGACTTCTCCAGTTCGCCAATGCCAGCACGATCCATTTGCTGAATGACAACGGTGTCTTCAGTGTTTTGCTTGCAAATATATATATATATATACCCATAGGATCCATGTATGCTATATTGGTAACATTTACCATCAATATACCCCCAATGTTAGCATATATACTATACATGGATCCTATGGGATATATATTAAACTTCAAGGTTCCTGATGCAGTCTGCTGCCATGTAAGGCTTTGCAATCTAATTGCTGTGATCCCAGCTTAGGTGGAGAAAATCTCAGTGCAAAATTGACAAACATGACCCGTGAGTTCAACAAGTGGTGCCAAGCAAACAAGATCAGGCCTGATGTGTTGAAAAGGATGTATGATGATTTGTTTGACATGCTGCTGTTGCTTCATGGTATAGTGTTCAAAACACGATGACATGATGTGGGTTTAAAACAAAACATAGTATACATCTTGGTGACTTGGTGTGCCACTGGAGATCCCTGATAAGGCATTACCAACACCCCATATGTGCTGCATTGATCCTAGTCAAACCTGGCGACTTCCCAGAATTACGGATCAAGGCATATGCTGGAAGAGTACTGGTGGCATTCTTACAGCAGAAACTGGCCCAGCTGATCGGGGAACAGGAAAATCCTACAGAGGTGATGCTCTTGGTGCATGGGACACTCAGTGCAATCTGCCAGTGGCTTCATTTGGTCGAGTCAGCCCAGCGATATCTGTCCGATGATGAGGCAAACAACATTTGGGACACATCTTTGGTGTTCCTAGCAGCTTATTGCAGTATGTTTGTTTTGATTCTCCCTCTAAGCCCTTCGAAATGATGATTGCATGTTCCCTTAAGCCCTAAAAGTTTTATTATATGTTGTGTTTCCATGTCTGCATTACTCTGAACCAGGATCTTGAAGCGATGGCGAGCACTGACCAAATGGCATCAGCGTGCTGGGGTTCTTCAGTGGCCACTTCGACCCAAACACCATGTATCATGGCACAAAGTTTGGATGGTCTAAACTTATCCATTGTGTTAACTTCTTCTCAATTCCCAAAGGATGCTCCTCTGATCTCATACAGTGGATCTTTCATAGCCTGTTTGGTTCATCATGAGGCATTTCAAGAGATCAACCTTGGAATGGTCATCACCCGTGTGAACTGTCGCTTCAATCATACGTTCATCGACGAAGATTGCATTGGTGGAGCGAAGGCTCTAGCACGACGTTGTCATCGTCGTCTCTTAGAGTTCAGACTTTTGGGAAGATTTTTACTCAGACTGAAGACGTTGAAGCAGAGAACTGCTGTCCCAGTACGCTCAGCGCGAGCGGTGATCAAAAAAAACAGATGTGCGCATGTGTGCAATGAAATATATATTAATAATAAATATATATATACCCCAGAAAAGTCATATATGAGTTTTTGTGTTTTTATGATTTTTTATGATTTATGAATGTAGTTGTTTTGGGGCTACGGAGCTATCATATAGCCCAATGTTGTTCCCACAGCCAACGTTTGTGAATGTTAATACTATTTGCTTACGCTCGATCCTCTGGGTATATATATATATATGTATTGATACAATACAATACGATAGTACGTATTACAATGAAATGCAATACCGCGCCTCTTCCACAATGCAGTCTCATATCAGGATATACTGTATCAGAGAATCGGGATTTGGATGATGGGACACATAAGGATGCTGCTCAAGAACAACGACAAACAATCACGACTAGCACAACAAATGCCCAAATCGATTAATGAACTTCGATGAACTCAAGGTATGAAACTGATAAATCAGATTCAATCCCTATCATATTACCAGGTAATCAAACCATTCCGAAGACATCAAACGCGGCCCATCAAGCCACAACTGCTACAGCCGCCTCGGCCATCCGATTCATCTCATCTTCCAAACAGGCCACTTGATGTCGAGATTGGCCAAGTTCCTAGCCGCAGGATGCCGAAGGCAGACTTGGCCAAGATGTTTGATTGGCAAAATCATACCGAACATAAATATGGAAAACCCAAAGCCATACACCATCATACACCATCCAAACTTGGGTTTATGACATTGGGTATACCATGGTATACCTCTATCTGGGATCTAACATTACCATACATGACCCCCCATCGTTGGTGAGTTGGATCCACACTACTTGGAGTACTCAATCTCACCAAAACACTCAGAGATGGTTTCTTAATGTCTATTATTGGGTGTTCTTTTCTGATGCAATTTGGGGTTACACATCCCAGAAGTAAAGGTATACTCTGAACTTGAAACCATGACCGCTGCAGAAATTGTTCTTGCAGATATTCACGACGTTCTTGAGATCTCAAGCAAGCCAACATAAACCACAACCCGACTGACACTCGGATCCTCTGCCAAATGCTGCAATTCCTCTCAAAGAACAAGAGGAACGGAATTGAAGTGACAAAAGAAAGAAATCCGTGTTTGGACCAAACATGAAAGTGCGTTCGGACTGGTTCACCTTGCACAAAGGGCTGCCACTGCCAAAACAAAAACCGTTTCAACCTTAAACTGATCCTCTGTTATATTGTTACCCATCCCAAACTTACATCCCGATATGGCTCTAAATCCCGTGATATCCCCAGGTTTCTGATGATAAGTCCACCGTAAATTCTGGTTGTTTGCTGCGGCCTCCTCCTTTTCCGACAACAGCAATGTGGCGGCCACATCTGCAGCGCGCAAGCGCTCCGTCTCCGCACGAAGGGCTTGAAACTGGCAGCAAACCATGGAGACCATTGGGGGTTTGGGATGTAGCCTATGAAAGGGGTAAATAGTATTAAATTAAATAGCTATGGAAACACAGCTATTAAACACATATGGCTCTATCATACCATATCACTATGGAATTCCATGAGGCTAGGGAATAGCTATGGCCTATTGAATCTCAGGGAAACATAGCTATGGAAGCCATGGCCCTTTCATCTCTCTGTCAATGATTTACCTATAAACACGGTGATTTCCATAGCAAACATTGTCTGTTGAGGTGCTGGTGGATGAGCCACTGCAAAGTGGAAAAGAAACCACAAGAGCATGCATACGTGGCATGTGAACAACAACATCAACGTGCCAAAACAATCTGGAACACAACCACAGAAGATGAACCGATCTAGACCAATAGTGTTGGTTGGTGTGTCAGTGTACCTTCTACCGAAGCAAATGTGGCCCATGACGGAACAGAAACCGCGATATACCGAAGTCAATTTTGACCTCGTGATTTTCCAATGCATGCCACAATCGTTCACGTCGACGCTTGAATGGTCTCTTACAACAGTGACTATCATGATTTCTGAGCCGTCGAAGGGCTTGTACTGAGTTCTTTGGGGTACATGCACTGCTTCGTACACAACCGATTAAGAGCCACTGAAAGCGACCAACTATCAGAGTGATCCAACACCAACCAAGACCATCTTCGGATCACACCGTTGAAATCGCATTTCAAAGCAACAATTCAACACAAATCCTCATGTTCTATTCCATCCCTTATAAACGATGGTACACATATGGTAATTACACACGTATATCATGTATATATAATATATACCAGCATCACTTACAAGCATGAGTGCGATAACTATAAAATCATATATAACCATAGTATACCATAGTATCAAACAATTAAAAACATGTTCCTATATGTTACTATTTTCTCTACGTGTAACAGGTTCCTATTCCCAAGCAACCCAAACGACCCAAGCTCTGACCGATCTCTCTGGCACGCCTCCTCTGGGGGTGCCAGAGCTCGATCGGCCTGCAGCCAATCTGCTTCCGCACGGCACTGGTCCAACTCCTTGATGCGCGCCCAGCTGGTGGCCAAAAATTACACCCTTTGGATGTATGGGAAAAAATGGGAAAAAATGGAGATATGATGTGATATTTATATTGAACAACCGTAGTGGCTTGCTTCCAAAAAAAACATGATTTGGTTTGTAGTTGGCCCACCCCTCCCCAACATATGCGCCTGAATCTACCGTTGCAAACCCGGAACCTGGGTGTTCTCAACAGTTACTTGCCAGCTTGTTCTGTACCGGTCACAGAAGTTGCTAGCTCATCCCTCATCGAAGCAATGTTTGTCTGCTGTCCTTCTGCAGCCTCATGGCATCCTGGCAACTAAGATGTTGGTCCATTGGACCAGACATCTACATCTGTCTACCATATTACATATGTGTATATACATGTTATACACATGTCACATGTATATGTGCTGAACGAGTGTCCTTTACTGCAGTTTGACTTTGACCAAACATCTCTTTGCCTCTCGCTAGCATAGACTAAGCCAACCTTCCAACCACATTTCTGTTTACGCGCAAGATCAGTCGTGATACCAGGCTAATTCCCAAAGAACTATGGACAACATCATCTTGTATTCCGAGTAGCATTAACGATCTCATGCTATGGATTTGTCTGAAAATAGGTACCCGCAGGGTATCCGAAAATCCTATAGTTTATCATGTTACATTTTTGGGGAGGTTATATCCCATGTTCAGACACACCCAGTTAGATATTGTGGGTTATATCCCCATGATACATACCCCCATGTTTCCTGTGGTCGCGATCCCCCGCCCTGGTGGACACCTCATTGCTCTGGGCATTGGCGGCTTGAGTGATTTCCAGTTCCTGGCATTCGGGGGGGCATCTGGCTGATATCCATGGGTTGTATGGGAAAAAATGACAGGAAACCTATTGGTTTTATTGGTTGTTTTAAAATGTTTTAAATGTGTCCTAGCCCCCAGAAAAGGAGATTCCTGAAGACACAAAAACATGAACCGTTCTGGGGTTGAATGTCTAGGGGTGTTTTCTCAAAACATCTTCGGGCTGGTTGCAAATGAAATCAAAGAATCTCTGCCACCCATGGCGCATGGCCTACACAGAACCAGTGTTTGTTGGGCTAGACATATCCACCTGTTCTTTGGACATAATCCCAAAAATTGCTACCCAATATCTCCACAAATCTCCCATTCGTTCACATATACACTGACTTCCTTATAATAACACATGTAATTTCCATTTTAAATGGTTTCTTTACCGCAGGCAACTCATTTCGGATCATTGCCTCCTTGAATCGACGGACTTCCTGACGAGGCGCAGGCGAGTCGTCATAACTTGCCGAGAAAGATAATTATGATCATGTGCGTTGACAATGGATTGGTTTAAGGGAAAAATTTACAGGAAAACCCGGTAAACCCCATATTTCATGGGAAAATCGATGGTTTCCTCTAGATTTTCCCTTAAACCAATCCGTTGAGCATTGACCATGCGTCGACTTGAGCAATGGATTACATTATCCATTGTTCAATACCAGTAGTGCCGCACAAGGAGGTGGCGGAATTTCAAAAACAGGAAACCTATAGTAGAGGTTTGTTGTTGTGACTCACGGATGGCAGAGCGAATCCACTGATGGACCGAAAGGTGGTTGGAGTTGTGTTTCTTGGAGTGGTTGCAATGGTTGCAGTGGTCACCTCACCACCACTGCTGGGTGTAGTGTGGTGTAATGCAATTGTAGCTGTAGTTGTAGTGTAGTGTAATGGAGTTGTAACTGTGGTGTAATGTAATTAATGTAGTGTAGCTGCAGTTGCAGCTGTAGCTGTGGTGTGGTGAAATTAGTATAGTGTAGTGTAGGGTACTGTAGTGTTGTGTGCTGTAGTGTGGTATAGTGTAGTGTAGTCTAGTGTAGGGTAAAGTAGCGTAGCTGTAGTTGCAGTGTAGTGTAGTGCAATTAGTAAAGTGTAGCGTAGTGATTTGTAGTTGTAGTTGCAGTTGCAGTTGTAACGCAATGTAATGTAATGTAATGAAATTAGTGTAGTGTAGTGTTGTGAAATGTAGTGCAGTTGTAATTGTATTTCTATTTGTAGTTGTAGCACGCTGCAGTGTAATTCGTGTAGTGTAATGTAACGTAATGTAGTTGTAATTGTAGTTGTAGCTGCGGTGGTAGTAGTAGTTGCTGTAGTTGTAGTGCAATTAATGTAGTGTAATAAAATAAGATGTAGTAATTCGTGTAGTGCATTTTTTAAAATGATTTTTAAAAGGAAAATTACTAGCGCCAAAGTCAAGAAAACCTGCTGCCAAATCACTATCGCAGCCTGGATGCAGCCATTCCAATACGATTTACGCTGTTCAACTGCAAAAGACAATAGTATTACGCATGCAGCCGCGGCACCGAGCAACCTTGACGCAGCCACTACAATGCGATCTGCAGAGACTGAGTTGCAAAACACAATAGAACTACGCGCAACGGCGTCAGAAATTGTAGCTTTAAAACTGGATCTCGACGCCAAAGCAGAAAAAAAACGATTTTGAAGCATTTTTTAAAATGATTTTTAAAAGGAAAATTACTAGCGCCAAAGTCAAGAAAACCTGCTGCCAAATCACTATCGCAGCCTGGATGCAGCCATTCCAATACGATTTACGCTGTTCAACTGCAAAAAGACAATAGTATTACGCATGCAGCCGCGGCACCGAGCAACCTTGACGCAGCCACTACAATGCGATCTGCAGAGACTGAGTTGCAAAACACAATAGAACTACGCGCAACGGCGTCAGAAATTGTAGCTTTAAAACTGGATCTCGACGCCAAAGCAGAAAAAAAACGATTTTGAAGCGCTTTTTTAAAGGATTTTTAAAAGGAAAATTACTAGCGCCAAAGTTGAGAAAATCTGCTGACAAATCACTATCGCAGCGTGGATGCAGCCATTCCAATACGATTTACGCTGCTCAGCTACAAAAGACAATAGTATTACGCATGCAGCCGCGGCACCGAGCAACCTTGACGCAGCCATTACACTGCGTTTTGTAGCATCCCGTAGCAAACCTGCACCTATCTACGCACGTGGCAACACCAAATGACAACAATCATGCAGCCATTCCAGTGCGATCTGCCACCACAGCTTCAAGAAGCGCATAGAACTACGCACACAGGAACAACCACTCGTTGCAAAACACATAGGAGGAACAATTCGCGACAAAAACGACCCCAGCCGCAACCGCCGCACAGACGAGGTACCTTTCATCGCCGGCTGCAGCCACTTTACACGGAAAAACACAAGGTTTCGTGCTCCGGCTTCCTCCCCAAAACATAGCCCATGCAACATTCATGCAGCCATGACAATGCGTTTCGCAGCATCCCGTAGCAAACCTGCACCTATCTACGCACGTGGCAACACCAAATGACAACAATCATGCAGCCATTCCAATGCGATCTGCCACCACAGCTTCAAGAAGCGCATAGAACTACGCACACAGGAACAACCACTCGTTGCAAAACACATAGGACCAGGAGGAACAATTCGCGACAGAAACGACTCCAGCCGCAACCGCCGCACAGACGAGGTACCTTTCATCGCCGGCTGCAGCCACTTTACACGGAAAAACACAAGGTTTCGTGCGACCCCAGCCGCAACCGCCGCACAGACGAGATACCTTTCATTGCCGGCTGCAGCCACTTTACACGGAAAAACACAAGGTTTCGTGCTCCGGCTTCCTCCCCAAAACATAGCCCATGCAACACTCATGCAGCCATTACACTGCGTTTTGCAGCATCCCGTAGCAAACCTGCACCTATCTATGGCAACACCAAATGACAACAATCATGCAGCCATTCCAGTGCGATCTGCCACCACAGCTTCAAGAAGCGCATAGAACTACGCACACAGGAACAACCACTCGTTGCAAAACACATAGGAGGAACAATTCGCGACAGAAACGACCCCAGCCGCAACCGCCGCACAGACGAGGTACCTTTCATCGCCAGCTGCAGCCATACACGGAAAAACACAAGGTTTCGTGCTCCGGCTTCCTCCCCAAAACATAGCCCATGCAACATTCATGCAGCCATTCCAATGCGATCTGCCACCACAAATGCAAGAAACGCATAGAACGAACTACGCACACAGCTTCTACGCACACAGCTTCAAGAACTACGTCACCACCTCCCTTCGTCGCCTCTTCCCTTCCTCACCACTTCCCTTCGTCACCACTTCCCTTCCTCACCACTTCCCATGGTCCCCACCTCCCTTCCTCACCACTCCCCTTCATCACCGCTTCCCTTCCTCACCACTTCCCTTCCTCACCACTTCCCATCGTCCCCACCTCCCTTCCTCACCACTTCCCTTCGTCACCACTTCCCTTCGTCACCACTTCCCTTCGTCACCACTTCCCTTCGTCACCACTTCCCTTCGTCACCACCCCGTCATTGTCAGCACCCTTCATCAAGATCAATTCCACCGCTTCTTGTTCTTTTGTTCTGTATTGTTATGTTTTGTTGTTATGTGATCTACCACCTGTGATCTACCACCCTTCAAAGTCAATTCCACCGCTTCTTATTCTTTTGTTATGTATTGTTATGTGATGTATTGTTATACGATCTACCGCCCTTCATCATTTCAAGTCTCAGAATTCTATTTGTCCGTAACACGGAAGTATTGCTTCCCAACTTCCTTTGATTATCATTATTTTCCTTTTTATAGTGTTATCATTATTTTTCTTATCAGTTTTGTTATGATCGTTAATCACAATCACGACTATGATTACTATGTTCATTCTTCTAATGTTATAAATATATACCACTGTAATCATCTGAATCAATGTAATATTGTATGTACCAATATTCTTTTCCATTAGTATCAGACCATACAATAAACATATTGACACATATTCAAACCATTTTCATGATATTTATAGTGTAATCAAACATGGCAAGGGAAACTCCTCCATTTATACATTAGTTTTCCCATTAAAATGTCCATTTCTAGGGGATTTCCCTTTGCCACATGTGATTTTAATCGTTATAAGTTATAATCGTATTAACCCCAAAGATCCCAAAGATAATGGACGCTTCCTAGAATATGGATACCCCAAATCATATTATGGTCTTGAGAACGTCGCGCCTGTTTTCCAACCAAAAATGCCTGCGGTAACACAGGTACACTTCTATGCTGTGATTTGTGCGTGTCATCCTTCGCACCTGACATGACAGACTCCCCCAAATCGTGTTTCTCACGATTTTTCAGGAGATATTAATTTGGCGCCCAGCCAAAAGTTGAATTTCATGACCAAAAAATTGGAACCTAAATTGGTAGGCTCAAGGCATTTTATCCTTGGAAGATGCTCGCCAGGTCTTGTACATTGATGCCATTTTGGCAGGCGACCATCCTTTGCCTCTATTTTGATGCTGAAAAAGATTCCATGGATTGTGCAAAGTCATTTTTGATTCTGCACCAACCCTCAAGGCCTCGCTCACTTCGTCAGCACGCTGCATCAGCGCATGCTCAATGCCATCGCCCGCAGCAGCGCTCTGGGAAATCAGCGCAACAGCAGCCAGGGCCTGCTCAAGGCCAGATGCATCAGCACAATGATCAGCGCCGCTCGAAGAAGAGGCCTGCCCAGGGCCAGGAACCGCAGCATCATTCACAAGATCAGCGCCGCTCGAAGAAGGGGCCTGCACAGGGCCAGAACCCGCAGCAGCAGCAACAACGGCCTGCACAGGGCCAGCTCCAGCGCGTAAGGCCTGCTCAGGGCCAGCACCGCTTGAAGATGAACCAGCAGCCGCATTCGTAGTTCGCAAGGCCTGCACAAGGCCAGCACTGCCCAAGGATGCTCCAGCAGCCACATTCGAAGATCTCAAGGCCTGCACAGGGCCACCACCAGATCCAGAAAAATGGGCCTGCTCAGGGCCAGCACGCTCGGCAGTTATGGGTACTGATGTTGTTGAACTTGAGGCCTGCTCAGGGCCAGACACACCAAGGGCCTGCACAGGGCCAACGCTCCGCAAAGACATCGTCACAGAGGCCTGCACAGGGCCATAGCTCGACGATCCCGCTGAAGAGGCCTGCACAGGGCCAGAGCTCGAAGATCGTGCTGAGGGGGCCTGCACAGGGCCAAAGCTGCTTAAAGAGCTCGTTCTCCACCTCAACTTAGATCTTCTTTCACCATCATCTTTGGTAGCGGAGCTTGTTGATGAAGCTTGCATCTCACCAGAAGGCATCGATGGCGAAGACGACCACACCTGCAATCGGCGCATGCAGCATTGACCAGCTTGAACTGCCAGCTTGCCAGCGTAGATTGCCCCAAGGATCATCAAAACCACCGCAGCAATCCAAAGTGGATCCGCTTCATCTTGTTCTCCCTTGATTTCCAAAGCTTCGGCTTCGGACAAAAGAGTCTGCCCCACCAAAAAACTCATCGCAGAAGCTGCACCAGCATGAACACGCTCTCTGCTGCCATGGCTTCGCACTTGAGCAGCACGTATTTCAGGGTCTTCGGGCCTCAAAAACGGCGCATTCATGCCCAGGTTTTCCACAAAACGTTGAAAGGCAGCTCCAAAAAGAGGCTTTGTAAAACCATCAGCAACTAAGTCAAGGCCACGCACATGGATTAGCTTCCATTGGCCTCCAGCTGCATCAGTTTCATCCAGGGCTTGTTTCAAAAGGCTTGCTCTGATGCGCAAGTGTCTTGTTCGCCATGAAGAAGCTGTAGTTCCATTGGCCAGTCCAATCGCGGCAATGTTGTCACCATAGATGACCTCCATCACAGCTGTAACACCTGTGAGCTCCATCACCAGAGCTTCAGCTGCTTTGCCAGCGATCAGGCCTTCACAGTAGCTAACCAGCTCAGCTTCAGCCGTACTGTGGGTGACAAAAGGTTGTTGGCTTGTTTTCCAACAGATCGGCTGACCACCAAGGCAAACAACGATCCCTTGGACGCTTCTGTGGCCAGAACCTGCTGAATAGGCTATGTCGCAGAAGATCTCCAGGAGCAGGTCACTTCTTTTCACCTTCAGCTGGCCATGGGCGCCCCAGTCATCAGGAACATGTGTTGTGTACCTCAAACCAACGCCAGGGTTTCCCTTGACGTACTTCATCAACGTTGTGCCGATCTGAATGGCTTTGACAGGAGCCTTTGTCATGAGCCTGCTCATAGTTGCAACTCCATGCGCAAGGTCAGGTCGTGTTCGGGAACTCAACCACAGCAAGGAACCAGCCATAGCTTGAGCTGTCCTGACATCATTTGGGTCAGGGCTTTCTTCGACTTCTTGATCCTCAGCAACTTTGTAGTGAGGATATTCAGCTCCTTCATCAACATTCCAACGTTGCAACATCTCCTGCTCGTACATGTGCTGGTTGACATGAAAACCATCGCCTTTGGCATCTTCAGAAATCTCAAAACCGCAGTACTTGAGAGGCTTGTCAACACCAGCCCACTCCACAGAAGACGTTGTCCAAACTCCAGAGAGAGCTTGTAGAGCGCCATGAACTGCAAACTCTTCACCAGTGACCAAGATGTCGTCCACATACACCGACATGAGGCCATTCCAGTGGATGTAGCCTGATTCATCCAGTTCTTCCAAGCGCCAAACGTTTTCATCTTTTGTTTTCTCAAAACTTCCAGTCAGCAACCCATTTGGACCTTGCCTTGTCCACTTCAGCGTTGGCAAAACTGCATCACGGTGAAGGCACCAGTCCCTTGGTGAAGCCTGGAGTCCGTACATTGCAAGCATGATGAGCCAAACTTCATCAGGTCCAGCGAGGCCCAACATTTTGTACACATGCGGCACTTCCATAGCTATGAGTCTGGAGTCTCTTCTCGGCGCATTGAGGAACGCCGTTCGTATGTCAGTTGAAGCAGCTTTCCATCTGTACTGAGCACTGATCCTTAGCATTGTTCGGATCTGTGTTGCATCAGCACCTCCAGCGTACGTGTTGTCGTCATTCGGTGTCTGGTAGTTTCCACACACCACTGCTCTTGAACGGTATGCTCCTGATCCAGCTTTTCTAGTGTGAACCATTTTTGCTGGAAGGATCTCCAAAGTTTTGTTCTGCACTTCAGCCATTTTTTGGAGTTCCGTTCTGGTCATTGGTTTGACAGCCTTTTTGTTGACGACAAGCTGCTCGTACTCAGCCTTGATGGATTCAGTCCAATCGGCAAGGTTTTCACGAACCTCTTTGTTGCTGACCGTTTTGGTGACCAAAAACTCATGAGTAAGCTGTTGTTGTTCTTCAGCTCGATCTTCATCCGCAAGCAGTTGAATTTGTTCTTCAACTTCAACCTTTTTAACCAGAGCTTTGTTGAGCTCAGGAAGACACCACATTTGTTCAGGGAAGGTGCCATCAAGCTTGCAGATCTCCTCGGCTATATAGTCCGAGACATTGTCGTGGATGGTTTGGAGGGCTTGTATCTTTGACATTCTAACCAGGACATTTTTTGATACATTTGAGGCCGCAGAGCTTGAGCCACCGTCTCTGCTGTTAGGCGCCTCCCCCAAATCCTCCTCCACATCACTTTCCTCCTCCTTTTGATCATGAACTTCATCAGTTTCTGTTTGCCCCCCATCACCATCCTTTTCATCATCATGCCCTGGTAGCGGAGCATCATGAACCTCTTGTTGTTCTTGAGGTGGATGTTGTTGTGCTGGAGAAAGCGTTGTTTCCAAAGTCCATGAACCTTCAGAGGCAACTTCATTGTCAGGCGGCAGCGCAAACTCAAACACACTGCCAAACTTTGCAAGGATGCGCTTCTCCCCCTCAATGTGCAACATTGACATAGTGGCAATTGCTGGTGGCGGAGCTGTCTTTGATCTCAATCTTCGTGCTGGCACACCATCACAAAAAAGCGGTTGAGCTTGTCTTTCATCACGTTCAGGGAGATATGGCAAAACTTCTCCCCCGGGACCAGCATCGACAGCTGCATTCATGCCATCATCCGCAGGAATCACCACATCATCAGTGTAGAAGCACCTTTCCGTTGCAATTGCTTTGACATAGTATGTTGTGGTGGTTATAGAAGATCCTTCAGCGGGGCCCCACACCACAACTTCTTCCCGGCAATCACGCCATTGTGCGTAGCGATCTTGCCAGCTTTTCTTGAGGGCATAGGCTTTTGAGCCAAACCTCAAAAGTTTTCCAACTGGCCAGCCTGCTTGGTTGAGTTGATTGCGGAGACGTCTTTCTCCAACATGTCGCACCGCAAGAGGCCATCTGTCCAAAGGGCATGCTCCAGCAGAGATCAAAGTGCGGACACCTTTTTTGATCATCCCAACTTCATTTTCAGCTCTGCCGTTTGTTTTGAAAGCACTGCCAGGTGTCATAGTTTGAACTATTCCACGGTCAAGACACCATTGATGGACAGGTTTTGCCAAAAATTCACGTGCACGGTCACTGTGCATTCGGTACACAGGGCAACCCAAAGAGCGCAAACGAGCATAGATCTTGGCGATCGCCGGCAGCACGTTGTGCACATTTCGATCTGCAATGGGCTCTGCAAAAGTGAGGTTGCGCACAGTGACATCCTTGGACTCATTGATGAGGCGCATCCAAGTGTCGTGCATTCCATAGGCTGACTTCACCTCTTCATCCTCCACAAGGTCAGGAACCGATTCTTCTTGGAGAGGATCAGGTTCATCTTGTGCAACACCAGCAGGAAGACCTTGTTCATGTCGAGCTTCATGGCTCGCTTGTTGTTGATCTCGTTCAACATGTTGTTGAGGTGGTTGACCATCTCCAGGTTGTTGTTCTTGAGGATCACCAGAGAGCTCAGGGTCATCAAGGCCAGGCAAAGGGTGATCTTCCTCTTCATCTTGGTCGGGACACAACAAGAGTGGTTTCCCCTTTTTGTTGACGGGGTATGTGTAAACTCCAACCAAGAAGTACTTGTTGTTGCCAGGAGTTTGATCCTTGCCACCAGTCATCCGACCAGACATGTCCAAGCTCAAAGTGAAGCTTTCCGGATGACAAACTCGGCGATGTGCTCGACTGCGACCTTGAGAACGTACACAGTGGCTGCAATCTCGACGAGCCGGCATGTGGTCCTGCATGTAGTGTTGCTTCCATTGTTGAAGGGCAACATTTCCAATTGCAGCGACACCAGCAGGTCGGACATCATCATCGGCGTAAACAACGCCAACAGGATCTTCAGGTCCTTCACGTGGAGGCGCTTCACGGCGAATCCATCTGCTGATTGCTTCAGCAACTGCAGCCTTCAAACCAGGTGCCCAAGCCGCCCAAGTTTTTGACATAGCACATCTTTCACGCTGAGTTCTGGTAGCGGAGCAACTTCAGGTTCAGCTCCACGACCTCGCACATCTTGTAGCTGCATCATCTCATTCATGTTGATCAAGGCCAAGGTGGTTGGCTTTCGTTTTGGGTGTCCAAAAGGCCCTTGATCAAAGGAGATCAGCTTGGCGTTGTAGGCTTCTTGGAAGCTTTTCCATTCCTGAGTTCTCCACATTGAAAAGTACTGGTGCTCATCCACATCCTCCTTCTTGCGGTATTCCGCTGGGTCTTGAGGTTGTTCACAAAGAAATGCAGTTTGAGCTTGTTCTTTTGGACGCACTTCTTCGCAGAGGATGTACATCAGCATCAAACGGAGCCACAGAATTGAGTCATTGGTGACCAATTCAGCTTGTTGTGGAGTCAATGATGGCAAACCATATGGGTGATCTTCTGTTCGAAGAATTGGTGGACCATCATCTTTTTGAAACCTGAGAGCACTTGTTGTTCTGCATGGAGGGCCTCCAAGTAGAGCTTTGACACGTTTGCTGGCGCACAAGGAAAGCAAAAACGCAAAGGTTGTTTCATCCAAAGCATTTGAAGGTGTTGAAGCTTCCAAGTCCACGCACAGCACCTCAGTGTGTTCATTTGATAAACGCCGCTCCCAGTAAGAAGCATCAGGTCCACTATACATGTGGATGATCACATTCTTTGCCATCATGAGTCTTTTTCGCTTTCTGCGATTCCATGGAAGGTTCAAGCCGATGTTGGGGTCCGTGAGCACTGAGAGATCTGGGACCAGCTTCAACGCCAAATCTTCAGGCAAAGTCGGCATGACCTCCTTGAGCTTGACAAGCATCGCCATTTCAATGCTCATTTTGTCGCCAAGACCGGCAGCCCCTCTTGTCAAGATTGACTTCAAGGTCATCTTTTTTAGCTCTTGTTGAATTTGATGCTGTTCCAACACCGTCAGCAGCTTTGCTCCAAATTCATGAGCAACGTAGGGACATCCATTGTGAAGTTCCACATCGATCTTTTCTCCAGCTTTTGTGTAGAGATGGCACATGTGGTCCTTCCACGCCAACTTGTAGTTGAGCTCGTTCAAGCATCCCATTGGAACGATCCAAGAGGTATTTTCAGGCCGAAGGAGAGGGTCGGAAAGCAAAACTTTGGTGCCAGGCTTCAAACGGAGGCTTTCTGTGACACCATCGGCCAACATCACCTGAGTTCTTGTGCCCGACTGCCATTCTTCTTCTGAAGCTGCAGGACGTAGGCCATGTGTTGCGCCAGAGTCCAACAACACCATTTGAGCATGAGACTCCAACTTTGACAGTCGCATCACCTTCAGGTTGGGCATACGCAAGGACTTCAGCAACTGAGTGGCTTCTGCCAACAGTTCAGTGGTCGCAGGAGTGGCAGCTGGAGCTCCCCCCTTATCCACCTCCGAGGTTGCACTAGATGAAGTCCCAAGGGAGTTACTCTCAGCACCCAGTCCTGGACCATCAGCGCACGTACTAGAAGAGGTTTGATCAGTTGTTGAGCTTGCAACTCCACCATCATGACCTTTTCCAACTGAAGCTTGCTTGACAGCCGCTTTGTTGTTGGCTGCATTTTGATTTCCACCACCACGTCCTCCCCCCAAACCAGAGTCATTGGACGAAGGTTTGTAGTTGTTGCCATTGCCCTTGACTTTGCATTCCGTTTTTCTGTGATCTTTGCCGCCACAGATCCAGCATCGACTGTTCTTGTCCTCGATGCCCTCCCAAGAGTGAGACCACTTGCAGCTTCGACCAGCTTTGCATCCAGTGTCGCTCTTGAAGAACTTGCATGGTTGCTCCGACATAGGAGTTGAGTTGCCCTTGCCGGACTTGTTGCCATAGTTTCCAGGAGTGCCAGGCTTTTGAGGTGAGTTTGATGCTTCAGCATCCATTTGTTTGAGCCTCACAGGTGTGCTCGCACTTGCTGTTGTGGTAGAGGAGGATTTCAGCAGACTCAGCGTCTCCGCCTCTGCAAGAAGACATTGGCTAAAACTCCATATTGATTGCTCCGTTGGACGTTGATCCAGTGCAAGTTGTTGTCGGCTTGTGGAAAGCCTGAACGCTGCTTGGGAGTCTTCCTTGGCGATCTGGACAACCGCAGCTTCAAGTGCTTTTATCAACAGCACTCCATCAGGCAAACTTGCATCCACCTCCCTGGCCCTTGCAAAGTATCGCCGCCATGTTCTCAGAGAAGAAGCCAATTCCTGCATCGTAGTTGCTTTTTGCAGTGACGTCAATTGCCCCAAGAGGATTGCCTTTTCACCTGGACCTCCTGGTTGATGACGCACGTAGAGGCGGAACAAAATCGCCGTACTGGTCAAGTCTCGATCCACCACCAGCTCCCGTTGCTGCTCATCGCTCACTGCTTTGAGCAAAAGTGTGACACCCCTCTGCTCCGTTCTGATGAAGCCGCTTGCCATCAGTTCATCAGGAAGACGAGGACAAAGTTGAACACGTTGTAGAGGAGATAGTCCCTTCCATTCCATGTAGAAGGCATGAGCTTGTCTCACCGTTGCATCCCACCATCTTCCAGCGACATGGGACAAATCCTTCATGATGGGACCACATAGACAAAGCCAATCTCCAAACTCCAAAGGCGAAGCACCATTTGGCAACGTTGGCAACTCCAACTTTCCGCCACCGCCTCCACCACCAGATTCCCATGATGTTGGCATTGGTGCAACACCCAAAGGTTCATGCCCTTGAAGACGTCCATCACGACGAAGACCATGTAGTTCAGCAGCGCCACCATGAAGTCGCTCATCTCGAGGAAGACCATGAAGTTCCGCTGCGCCACCATGAAGACGTTCTTCTCGAGGAAGACCATGAAGTTCTGCAGCGCCACCATGAAGACGTTCGTCACGAGGAAGACCATGAAGTTCTGCAGCGCCACCATGAAGAGCCCGATCATGTCCAGGTAGATCTCCAAGCGCAGTGCCATGCAGAGCCCGACCTTGTAGAGCAACATCACCATGCACAGTGCCACGTAGACCACCATTCGAAGCCCGAACTTGTCCACATAGATCACCATGCACCTGCGAAGCCCGATCACCGCCCTGAAGACCATCATGCTGAGCCCGAACTTGTTGTGCAGCTTCACCACTTCCAGCATGCAAGTGACGTACATCTTTTCCATGCGCATTGCAACCCGTTGGATTCCAGTACCCAGATTCAGTCAGAGTTGTTGGAACAGCTACCCTATCCAGTGCAACTTTCAAAGACCGAACCTCACGTTCTAGCCACACCTGTTTCGCCTCACTGGCTGTCATGACATCATCCCCAGCGTTTTGACCACTCTGAGGTTTCCACATCTTGTCACCATTTTTCACATGCGGTTTTGACTCACATGTATCATACAAATTGCTGACAAAACTGGTTCCCTCCACAAGCGGCTCACCTGCTGCAGTTGGAAACGGAGGGACTGGTGGCAACATCGGCTCATTCACTGGCGGTGGACCTTTTGGCACTCTGGTCCCATTTGGTGTGAACCGAACCACCTCACCTTTTTCACAAGCCTCAGGACTAACTGCACGTTCACGTGTTCGATGCCTAGGAGTTCTACTTCCCCCTCTACCATGACGCTCAGCATGAAAGGTTCCATTGCCACTTGAACCCTCTACTGAAGTTCCATTCACAGCAGACCATGGTGATGAAGCATCCCCAGAACCGGCTTTCGATTGTACATGCTGCAGTTGCCCTTTGAGACACGCTAACTCTTGCATTAGCTTCGAATTTTGTTGACGCAAAAAGTCAACCATCTCCACTTCCAGAGCTCTTTGCAAACCATCTGCATCTTCACCAGCTACTGAAACCCTTGTTGAACCCCCAGCAGCCACATTTCCAGTTGGGATTTTTCCCTCAGTCCTCAGCGCCTTCTGCTCATTCACTGTGGGGCCAGTTGCATCCGGCATTTCACCCGCCGAACAAACACCTCGCCCTTTCCCAGTTGGTGCAGCACTTTCAGACTGACCTACCCTTCCAGAAACTGTTGTACTTTGAGGACCCAATTCATCATCTCGAACTGGTAACGTCCTAGGCCTTTTCGCCTCCAGCAAGCAGTCAGCTTGAACCTTCTCCGAGTGAAATGGATTGACCACTTCTAAGTTCCTATCCTCCACAGGCATGGATTGGGACCTGGAACTGCTTTTCATGGCTATTGGAAAAAGCGATGGGTTGGGCTCATAACCCTTGAGAACGTCGCGCCTGTTTTCCAACCAAAAATGCCTGCGGTAACACAGGTACACTTCTATGCTGTGATTTGTGCGTGTCATCCTTCGCACCTGACATGACAGAATGGTAATAACTGATTTTTGGATGATTTTGGGGTACCACCATTGCATTTGTCTGAAAGTAAGGTGTACCCCCAAATTTGATGGTTGAGCACCACTCTTACTACGAACATGCCATTGTATGGGGCCCCACATTTTCAGACACACCCATTCTAAGAAACCCATTACCCTCCAGCAATCAAACATATCAAACATATCAAACATATCAAACATGGCGATTGACAATCCACCATTTATAGATGACTTTCCCATTTCTACCTCCATTTTTAGGGAATTTTCCATTGGATCCCCCGGGGCCCGTCCGGGTTTGGGCCCCGTCCTCCGCTTGATCCGACAGCAGCAGTGCCCGGTGGTCGCTGTGCGCCTTCAGCTGATCCCGGTCCAGGTGGCTGGACTCCAGTTCCTGCGGGAAAATCCCACCAGTTATGTCATGGGGCTTGTGGAAGCCTGGTAACATAAATAACAATGCCATGGAATCTATGGATCATGGACAATAACATAGATTTACCAGCCAAAATGAACAAAAAACTGGGAACAATCACACATCCATGTTTCCAGTTTACATGGATTTACCATCCAAAATGGTGAAATGGTGACTTCACTGGGGAATTGGGTGGAATTGGGATATCATTTGGATATAACTATAACATGATATATATAAAGGGGATGGAGCATGGTAGTTCTTGACCCCAAAACTGGTGATTCGGAAAACATTGGGATATCATATGTGATAAAAACCAACAATATCCAATTGGGCGTGTCTGAAAATGGGGTTTGAACTCATCAGTTCTTATGCCATCAGAACTCTGGGGGTGTCTATTTCCAGGCCCATGTAATTGGTGTTTCTTGGTGAAATTTGCGGTTCAACATCCACCATACACCAACCCACATTCAGTCCTCTTGCAAGATCCTCACCTCCTGCGGGCACCGCATCTGACGATACCCTCTGGTTATTTAATGTAGCTATACTATGCTATATTAATGTAAATCACATTTTTTAAGAGCTAAAGCTAAATCATCATTACTAAAATCCTTACTTTTATCACCTATAAATGGGCCATGTTCCATAGCTATGTTAAATAGCCGGAGGGTATCTGACAGCTGGCAGTGTTGCAACATGAGGCGCTGTCCTGGGCCTGTTGAGCATTGCTGCTTTGCAGCGCCTCCAGCTCCTGGCGATGCCACCAGATTTGTGACTTGGCAACACGGCAGTCATGCCATGGCTTCATAGGCCTTTCGCAAACTTCACCCGAAATCGGAAATCATCCAAAGTTATGGTTATATAATTTTATATAAATGAATATAAATGCTGTTCAATGGATACGAGTACCACTTGGGTTCATTTGTTGGCCTTTGACAACCTTTCCGATCTGTGAGAATCGACCCTGCGAGCCCGGAAGCCCAGCGACCTCAGCCATTTTGCGACGAGTGTTCTGCAGCTCCTGCAGATGCAAACTGGACCAAAACTATCTGCACACACACAAACACAGATAGTAGTTACATAATGTTACATATTCATATACAGTTATTAACAATGTTGTATCATATTAAAAACACATGCATCGAGATATTTGGTTTAGACCTTGTGAATGCAGCAGCTGAAATATGCCATCAAACAAACATCAACAAACAACAAAAAATTGGAAATCATTGGAAGCATTGACGTCAGAACATGTCAGAACTATCCATTCTGTGCCGGCTGCCAAGTGTGCCTCTTGAAGATCGTTTGCTTTTGCAGTCAGGCTTTCACAATCCTGCACGTGTCAAGGTATTCAAGGCCCATTAGGGACACAATGCCAAAGTATGCCAACATCTATAATCTATAGAAAGAGACCCATGATGGCGACCTTCTTGCTAGCTCGAAGTTCTTCTTTGGTACTCCCAAGCTCCTGATCAGGCTCTGCGATTTTGGCCCAAACCCTCAATCTGCAAAAATGCCAAAAACAACTGCACCAACAACTACCAACAACTGCAGGAGTCGAACGAAAGGTCCTCTTTCAAGACATGCTTTTCCTGACAAAACGTGATTCTGGGGGTGTGTTGAAGGGTGATCAACTTGAGCTGCAAATCAGTCAAAGTGCCAGTGGAAACTATCCATGTGGTTGGCAGTAAACCCAAAAACAAACATCCATGTGAGAGATTGTGAGAGGAATCTCATTCCAGAAAATTAAACACCCCCGGAGAAACACCGGTTCAAGGTGGATCGACTCATTTTGCGGTCCCTCATTAAGGGGACGGGATTCATGATGAATTTCAAGAAACAGGCCCTCCGGTAATCAAACATGGTTTGCTGAAAAAATCCTGGCTTAGAGCTGAGAAAATTCTGGTTTGCTGAGAACAGCTCTAAACAGAAAATTTCATTTTTACTTCCAGGATTCTCCCAGCTCTAAACCTAAATTTTCGGGGGGAATTCCCAGCCAAAGCAGCAACTTCCCCCGACCTCCTCCATGGTGACTCGTTTTTGCTCAGCCTCCTCCCGTGACTTCTGCAGGTCCTGCCAGCTTCAAGGAGGGGGTAAGGGATTGAGTCCTTATTGGTGACACTATATTGAATATCATAATATAATATCATTTGGTTGGTGGTATACCTACCCCTCTGAAAAATATGAAAATCAGTTGGGAATAATCATGGAAAAATAAATAATGTTCCAAACCACCAACCAGTAATATAATATAATATAATATTACTTATCCACTGGGGTACCCCTCAATCCACTGGGTGATAAATCCACCCTTTTCTGTTTTCAGACCAGATGGATATCTTTGGTTCTACAGTACATGGTTCTACCCCCATTATATTCCCATTTTTTCCTATAGTCAAGTCATGTCAAATCTACATTTTTCATCATTTTTCATGGTATGAGTGAATCATAGTGAATCAGTGTAAATCGACCCAAATTCCACCGCCCCAAATTCTCCTTCGCATGTTGAGCTCCCAGTGCCAGCTGTTCCCGGCACTCGTTTCGCAACTGCTGTGCCTCCTGGCGCAGCAGTTGTAGCTCCTGGCAGGTGGCAGTGGCTGATCGCAGGCCGCTTGGATAGGTTCCCAATGGTTCACATCGGTTTTTGTGTTTTAGTTCTCTGTTTGGCGATGTGATGATGATGATGATGATGAAGAAGAAAATGGGTTCGGTGATGTTGATGATGTTCAATAATGTTCAATGATGTTGGATGATGTTCTGTGTTGTTTGACCATGCTTGATGCTTCCTGAATATGTATTTTTGTTTTCCAGGTCTGGTAAACGCAAGATTTATCTTGATTCTCTTGATACATTCAGAACTTCAGTAGCACAATTTTCTCCTTTCAAATGAGAAAAGGTCGATACATCTCCGCGTGAGGTCCGCGGATTGAAAACAAATCAGGGGGAGGGCCATTTGGGTTTGGGCTGCGGCTTTTCATGTTGCCCCGGTGCAGTCCCTTCAAGGATTATGTCCAAACTGGAAGGGCACCCAACCCAGGATTTCGATGGGCGAATGGAATTGGATGGGTTGGATGGGTTGGATGGCTTGGAGTTGAGCGGATTGCCCTCTGAACTTGGATTTGAAGGGATTTGTGTGGATTTATATATATATATAATTATTTATATGGATTTGAAATGATTTGAATCGGTTCGATGGAACATTTGATGTGACTTCTGAGGCAGATGGCATGATTTGGGTCCAAGTCTTGTGGCCACTGTGGAAGAACATGGAAGAACCAGTTCCCGGCCTCGGATTGGCGTGTGGCCAATGTCAGTTGCTGCGCGTTCTCCTCGCGCAATCGATCCGCTTCCTGTTGTGCTCGGCGCAAATCCTCAGGCTGATGACCAAGTCGTGACACCCAGTTGGAAGTGACACCCATTTTCGTACTCCATCCTAGATAATTGAGCACTTCCACTGAGCTTGATAACGTCGTAGCGGGGCCGCCAACAGGCCGCCAACACAAGATAAGGTTGATGAATATTCACATTTGGGGGATGGAAAAACATGTGGAAAAAAGGAGAGAGTTGAAGCCACCAACCGGCCACTTGCAAGGGGTCGATCGATATCATTCCTTTTCTTCAAAGTTTCAGCTTGACATTATTGGGCCGAATGGGGTTGTCTCTAAACTTGGAACCCCCAATCATCATTTTTCCTATGATAATTTCCATAAATTGGCAATACATCTTGATTTTTAGCACGAACCCAGTGACCGGGTCGCCCAACCTCCGCATTCCTCAGTGAAGTCATCAGCTTTTCAGAGCTTTCTGTTCTCAGCCGATCAGCTTCTGCCCGAGCCTTTTGTGCATCCTCCAATGAACGGAAGCCATCGGAAGCCCCTATAACTGTTCACATCGAAACCGGCAAGCCGCAAAACTAATCCGTAATCCTGATAATCTGCGTCCGTGTTGTAAACCGGTGTAATCCGTAATCCGCAACCCTTCATGAGTGGAAAACCAATGCAAGAAAACAAAGTTGAAAATACAATGTGCGGCCCTCGGATATTTTGTCCTTTGCTGGGGGGCATTTGAAAATACACAGGTCATCGAGCCACAGCTTGTTGAAAGAGCCCTAGTGATACCAACGGACCACCAGTGCGCACACAAACCCTTCACCGAGGAACCCCAAATACAAACATCCGTGCCTATAACCGACCAATTAATAGCGGTGCCCGTTTCAAGCTTGTATGCGCATTTGAAGGAGTGCTGGTAAAGGTACTGGTGATACCAAAACGAAGTGGTACTACCTGGAGAGCACTCATTTTGGAATCACCAGTGCGCGCGCGCAAACCTTGCACAAAGGAACACCAAACACATCCTTGCGACTTGCCTACAACCTTGAAAATGCTTGTGGTGCCCAAGCTAACACCATTTCCTGAACACCATTTCCTGTCAACAATCCTAAACAAAGCGATAACATACACTGATTTAGACATCTTTGGCCAAGGCACTTTTGAGGGTACAACAACCAAGAATTATTGAATATATGGGTACTGTATCATTAGTAATGTTGGCCCGTGGTAAACTTCCCTCTGACCAATCAGATTGTACAATTTTGCTGGTCATACCCCATACCTGCCTTCAAATCATCTTTAATCTTTTGCTATACCATACCATTGACCTAGTCCAATGGGTGATTGATACAACAAATTGCTGGGGGTAGGGGTAGGTTATGATGTACTAGTATTGTCAAGTATATTATAGATAGTATAGCCGTATATAAACTGAAATACATTGAAATACATTGAAATACCACAATACCCCACTAAACCCCATTCATTTGTATTGATTTGTTGCAACATGTCCGACATGTCCCCCGTGAAAAATGATGAAACATGTACGTACGCCCTCAGAGTCATCCTCTTGGCAAATCGCTCTTTGTCGATCTGTTTCCTCCTGGAGTCTCTGCAAGTCCTGCCAGCAAATGACAGGTGCTTCTGTGCCGGCGCAAATATACTATGGGTTTGGTAGTTTGGTACCTGAAAATGTTGGGAAACCCCAACAAGTCTATTGGTTAATCATTATCTCTATCAAATATATTCAAATATGGCAATGTGAGGGTATAGCACAACTTCAGACGGACCCATATACAACGTGGCAATGGAAAGTCTACGTTTTCATATCAAAATGATTCGAAATGAATGATTTCCATTGACGGCCATGATGACATGAGGGCAATCTGATGGGAGTGTTCAACCCTCAAAAAGCGATGGAAAGTAACAAAAATCTAAAACCTCCAGTGTCATTGGAGATGTCAATGCTGCGCTCCAATGTCTCGAAATTCCTTCTTGGGGTTGACACCAAAAGACCTTATCCCATAGGATCCATGGTGCTGGTATATATGCTAACATAAAGGGGGTATATTGATGGGATCCATGTTACCATATATAGCAGCACCATATGGCCATTTATAGTGGATTTTCCCATTAAAAATGGTGATTTCCCATTGCTATGTTAGTTCACCAGAGGGTATACTAAAAACCGTTGGGAATGGCTTGGTGACCGAAGTTCTCTCGACCCAGAAATTGGATCCAGCATCCTGGCAAATCGCACTTTGTCGATCTGCTTCCTCCTTGTGCCTTTGGAGTTCCTGGATCAAAGGTGAGAAAAATGGTACCCTCTGGTAAACTGTTACATAACTATGGAAAGATCCACCATTTTTATTGGGAAAATCCACTATTTCTATGGTCATTTTCAATAGCTATGTTAAATTACCAGAGGGTACATCATGGTACATCTACACCGCGATGAAGTGAATTCCATTCGAGTCTGCCTGATATGACAGAAATACATTCACAATACACCCCAGCTACGTAGATTTCTGGTTTTGTTGTGTGGGCACCTGAGAGTGTCGATGTCTCTCTTGTTGCCATTGACGTGCTTCTTCTCGCAACTTGAATAGCTCCTTTCGGTGTCAACAATGACCGACTACCAATTGGGGGCTCCTGACACCAATACTCAGTGAAATATTAGTGAAATGGATAGTGCACAAATGTGCCATGGTCAAAACATGGTAACTTATATATCATATATGAGGTATGGTCATCCCACCATCATGTAAATGGGGGGCATCCCCTAACCGGTACCAGATGGTACCAGCACCTTCTCAGCAACTGTGCAGTGCCAGTGTGCCTCCTCTGCTCCTTCCAACAACGAACTCTGTCGCTGGCCTACTTCTCGAAGCTTCTGCAGCTCCTACAAGCTTCTAACTGCATTCACTTGGGGTTGTATTTGAACGATTTACCTTGATATGGCCGAAATGGAGGTAATTATCATCATTTTCCCATATTTTCATATATTTTCCCTATATAGATAGCAATTTGGGGCTGCACCCCATTTTCACCAAATGCTGCGTCCTCTTCTTGCTGTCCGCACAGCTTTTCGCCGGCTTCCAGCTCCTCTCTGTAAGTATTCCTCAAGGCATGGGAAGCTCATGCCTAGTGTCTGAACATGGGATATACAGTAAATTACAGTAATGTGGGTGAAACAATCACGAACCATCCCGCAAATCACCATTAGGTGGTATAAACCATTCCCAAATGGCTGGTCTATTATTATTTGACCCACAGTACTCCAATTTATGGCTGTTTAATACGGAAAATCACGATTCACCGATTACCGATGGAGTCAGGATGATTTAGGGGTACCAGGACCTAAATTCAGACAAGCCCACATTTCACCACTGCTCAGAGGCCCAAACAGAGCGAAATGGGCGTCCAGCCCTAAGCTTCATTCAACAAATGTCAAATAACTATCAACCAACAGCAGCCTTACGATCCATACTTAGATTGCATGGGTTGCCCAAAATCTCTGTCACACCAAGTTGCTCTTGCGCCGCTAACAAAGCCTGGATGCAGCCGAAGTGTTTACACGATTTTACAGTACCCTTTTTGGAATGCTGCGTAGCTGTTTTCGGCATGCTTCGATCATTTTTGATACTGCAAGTATGTCAGAACACACAAATGACATAAATTGCCAGGTTCGTGCAATATCCAGAGGACTTACCAGAATGACATCTTCGAGTACCCAGTAGATGTTGCGTCAAGACTGATATGCTGTCGTTTCTTGCCTCAAGCTCTTCTATCCGCTGCGATGGCGAGGCAACGGCCTGAGGTTTGCTCTTTTTTGTGCTCGCAGGAAGCGACTGAACCAGTCACAGCCCCAAAAAATCCAGCACCAGTTGCAGGCTTGCTCCAACCTATTGGTGAATCGTGCAGTAGCCAGTCGTTGGAAGGAGAATTGGTACATTTTATTCAATTGACCATACGAAAAACCAGTCTTTACCTCATCTACCCATACTGTGGATGGAAGAAATCCTGCACCACCTTGGACACTCTATAAATAATGGATAATAATGGGATAACCACCTATCAACTGGGATTTCTTCCATCTTCCACTGCATGTTCCCAATATCTTTCCGGAGCCCTGTGCAGCGCCTCCACAACCTGCAACTGGAGCTCTCGACATTGCTCGCGGGAAAAAGACAGCTCCACCTGCTTTTTTCCGATCCAAGTCATGGCAGTCATGGTGACTGCAACATATTTTGGAGGTTACTACATGGGCTTGAAATTGGATGCAAAAAAAATACCAGTTTATGACTAAACCAAAAACAAATGGTTTAATCACTGAAATACTGTAGATAAGCCCAAATAGGTAGTTCTGTGATGTTCTGTGGGTACTTTTTTATAACATGTATTGTCTTGGCCTGAATCTTAAAAAAAAAACGATTGATCTTGTGGCCATGCCATGCAGTTGGGTCCATTGTGATATTTCCTTACATCTCATGACATGACTCATGACATTTCAAACATGGACAATGAGTGGATGTCTATTAGAACCCGATATTCCTGGACATATTGACTGTCAAAGGGACTCTTCTAAAACTTGTTGATGGATGTCTATAATATTAAATGAAAGGAGGAACACATCCTTTGGCATTCACTCATCCTTCTCCTACACTTCAACTTTTGAGGTTTGACAAATCACACAGCAAAGCCATGCAGCCTCAAGTTCCTCTATATGTCGGAGCGATTTCTCCGGTGTGGTGGCAGCTGCCTGCACCGAGTCTGGCAACACTATCCAGGAAGCTCGAAGGAGCCAAGTGCTCAATGCAACAACTATAAGCCATGCCAGCTTACACCCAGAGCCTCTGCAACTTGCTGTCTTAAATTCTCGCATTCAAGTTGCAACGCCTGCGCCGTGTCAAAGGTTTAAAGATGTTTAAAGAGAAATCGTATATTGTATTAGTAACAGTATATGTATTAGTATTAAATCATATTGTATTCATCCGTTTGGTTCGACTAGCACCACATCTCAATTCTTTTTCTATAAAACCACTCTTCCAGTTTGTGCGGTCCAAGGGTGAAAAGTGAATCCGAGCCGACTGCCACACTCCCACAAATCTTGGGTTTGAGATCCTGCAAAATCCTTCATAGGAAAACCCCTCCAACATCTCGAACGCGCTTCTCACGCTTGCTTCTACTTCTTCACATCTTTGATATCCGGGTAGAGTCTTATTATTTCTGACCACCACTAAAATCATTATGGCAACAGCTCAACACCTCACTTTGCTGCTCCAAACGATGGTACCCCATCCGCCTCAGCTACTTCCGGTCCATGCAGTTGAAGGACAGTCCTCAGGTACAGCCGAAGGCGCTTCGGGAATGCTGGGGGACCACCACTGGTTTCCTCAGTGAACAAAACCTGTATGAAACGTGGATGGTCAAGACATGGGAAAACATTCATCAATATTCATCATATTATTATGAGATGCGGTTTAAACGTTTGAAATCGTTTGAACATGTTTTAAGTACCCAAAATGACCAATCCGTCAGAACTGCCACCTAGCTGCTCAGCCAGCTCCGAATCCTTCTCAGCGCGAAGGCCTGAAACAATTGCAGGGACAGTGACATCAAACCACCATTTTGGTTTCAAACAGGGCCCCGTTTGAAGCCAACACAAAGCCACAAGCACCAAGCAAGAACCAAACAAAATGACAGTTGAAGGGACCAAACATGTGGCTTTGATTTTCAGATATTATATATAGGGATAGAATTGGCTTGAAACTCTGTAACTCCTGCTCTGAAGGGGAAAAACAACGCACCAGCCAAATCCTCTAGTTGCGTGTTTTTTCGACTTCAGGAAACACATAACCATCATAGCCTGCATCGTCCAAACATCTCCAAACTGTGCCATCATTTTTTCTACCACAACCCTAAAACCGCCAAGATTCCTGGGAGAGATGAGGGCAAATGTGTTATCCCTGGATGTGCCCATGCCCATACATCCCTTGGTTTAAGGACCAGCAATTTACGTACGGAAAACCTTCGATCCAACGTTTCCAGTTTTCGAGTTCCAGTGATCCAGCAGCTTCCATTTCTTCCCCACCTGACATCTCTGATTCCAACGTCAGAAGCTTCTCTCTCAGTTCCTGAACGAAAAAGGAGGTGTCAAAAATGCGCTCACCCGGCTGACCCGGCTCGGTTGCCTGGGACACGCCTACAATGACGGGCTATACTTACCAAATCAAATATATATATATTTAATAACATAATATACCTATATAATAAATAAATGTGTATATATATATATTTTAACAGAATATATAAATGCGTAAACGAATTCACTAATTACCCATCTTGCTGGTTGCCCTTTTGCCGTTGAAGCCAAAGAAACAACCCCCACCTGGTTCTCGATGGAAAGGTCAAGCGTAGCAGCCTTACAATATGGCAGCTGTGCCAAGTATGTTCATCTAATCTATTCTGTTTGTGTGAATAAATCCATCCAAGAGAACCACTCTCACCAGCGTCTATATACATCTGTCAATCTCGTTTTCCCGCTTGTGAGGGGTCATCAAGAGATCAGCTTATCCATTTGCTTTTTGCGAGAGTCATCGAGAGTCTCTTTCACACTCTGACTCTCACTTACCCACATCATCCTGAAATCACCTATGACCACAGTTTGTTGAACATCCCATGACTCATAGGGTGAGGTATGAACAGAACCACCATTAAAACCAGCCATGTTCGCAGGATTTCGGATCCACTTGGTTTCCTGGCATCCTCAGGCTCCTCAGGGCTTTCTGGACTTTGCAACAGCTGTAATCGCCGCTTCTGCACAGGTGGAACAGCCACCAAGTCCAAGACCAAGAAGTGGACAGGTGACCACATCTCTAGCCCGCACTTGAACCAGCTAAATAGTAGACTATCAATGACAAGGGGAGTTGAACAAGTTGAATATTCCTGTTTGAACCAATCAAGAGCACGAATCGCGTGTCCGAACCATAAGCATTGCCAGCTTCACATGAAACATTGTTGACTATTTTTTTTGCCTTCCAACTTAAATTGTGTTATGATCCTTCATATCCTCCTTAAACATGTGCCGGGCCTCAATCTCTGCATTGATGTTCAATGCAACAGCAGCCTCTTCACAGAGCTGTTGGCATCGCTCCTGCGCTTGTTCCACCTGCACAAAAAAAGGCTGCGCTTGCTCTCACCTGGAACTATACATCGTATCATGTTCATATATATAATTATACATATAATATCATATAATAATATAATAATAATCATTATATAATCAATAAGTTACTACGAATTACTATTACACCCAGAGTAATACTAAGAATTACTAAGAGACTTATTTCACAGCAACATGCCAACCATCACAAAATCTAAGACATTTAACAACCCCCATCCCCCCATTCCCCAAGGGGCACCTCCTTAGGCTCCACGCTGAGCGCCTGCACCCGGCGCTTCAGCGTCTTCCGCGCCTTCGCCATGTGCCCCAGGCGCTCGCGCAAGCGACAGACCTCGCTGCGGGCCACGCTTAACCTGGGTTGGAGGTTGGAGGATGAAAACGAGATGTAGAAAATGTGGGGATATAATATATATATATATATATGTATGTATATGTATGAATATATATATATATATATATATTTCTACATATTTCTATAATCCATATATAGGGATGATGGAATATATGATGGACATATATATGGGTGTTTCCATAAATGGGGTACTCAAAATGGATGGTTTATAAGGGAAACGCCTATTAAAATGGATGATTTAGGGGTACCCCCATTTCAGGAAACCTCCATATGGAACTATAATGGAAATGATAACGACCGATGGAATGTATGATGGAACTATTATGTTATCCAAATATAATGACATATGGTTAGTTAAATGAAGTTCTACATTTATGGAAACTATATGGAAAAAATAGAAATTATGGACAAATATGAGGATATAATGTGATTATCAAAGATATTTTGATGATATATTGTGATATTATATGATATCATATGATATTATATGATATTATGGAATTATAATGTCCCCCAAGTTTGGAATTCATTTGCAAATATAACTATGGAATGAATGGAAATTATATGGAATATATGGTTTTCAGAGATCTGGAAAATATGTGGAAACTATATTGAAACTATACAAATATACCTATGGAAAATAACTGTAGAACTCTATATTGTAATCATGTATCCCTATCGAAATTGTGCGTAGGAGATGTACCAAAGATCCGCACGATTACGATGATCATGAGATACAACTGAATAAAAAACTGAGTGTAAATATCTTAGAAATAGCGGTCAAATTAATATGGGAGTATGTGGGATTGTACAATAGATGATAATAAATGTGGCTATATGTGAAATTGGATGAATTTTGTCCCCAGTTTTTTCTGAACATTCTGGCCAATAATTGCCAATATGCTGGGGGTCATGGAGAAATCATTTCATCTGTTGGATAAGCTGAGTGTGCAACTCTTCCTCTGTGCAGGCTTGGAGTTCGGTACCTTTGCCGGTCAAAATTTAAGAGGCAAAATCCAGTAACAGGCTGCCTGGTGAAAATCCAGTGGCCTTGTGGTACACTGGTACATATTCCTCAACTCTGGGTCAAAATGAGGGCAACCTCAAAAAATGGTTGGTTTAAAAACCCAAAGCGACCCACGTCATACCCATCTGATTAAACATTCTGGAGCCGGATGATCCGTGAATTTAGGATCAAAATGGATCAAGGAATCAGTCAGAAACACAGCCGCATGCTGTTCTTGTTGATCATATCTCCGTACATCCCCCGTTCTCCTGCATAATCTTGACATGTTTGGTGCTTAATTTGGATGCTTCAGGCATCGTCGCTGAAATGATCATACTTCACTAAATAGCCTTAATAATTACAATATAATTACATATAATTACAGTATAATAATATGATAGTATGATGTGTATATATATATATACATACGGTAACTACATTTAAATATACAGATTTTTAAATATACGAACAGGTACGAGTATTTTAGACTACCTCCGGGAGGGTTTTCCTTGGCCCGCCCAGCCATTTAAACATACAGAATCCAATTCATTTAAACATACTGCAACTACATTTAAATATACGAACTGGTATTTCATACTACCTCTGAGACTCTGGGGCCTTGCGGTCTGGCCCGCCCTCCACATATTTAAATGTCGTTACTGTATATATACGTACTTATAACAATCATCACTTGGGGATAGTTACCCCTACTTTGGGGATAGTTACCCTGCCAACCCCTACTAACCATCATTTCACTGGGCTCCCCAACACATCTCCGAATTTTCGGCCCACTGCGCCGCTTCACTCTTCAGCTGCGCGCACTCAGCACGCAGCTGCGCCTGGGCCGCCACAAAACATGCCTTTGGATGCCTATTTTTGATCCCTTTCTATAGAATCTATAGAATCTATAGAATCTATCTATCTATCTATCTATCTATCCATCCATCTATCTATCTATCTATCTATAAATTATATATATATATACGTATATCAATTATGATACCAACATGATAATGAATGATAATGACGCTATCCTGGCGCCAGCCTGCCTGCGCAAGGTCCGCAGAGGTTTTTGCAGCCAAACACTCAAAGTGCAAGAGGGCTTCCTGGTGGGGGACGTCGGGACGTCCGGCTCTCAGGCTCAAGCCGGGTACATGTGGCTGAAATAACCAGTCGACTACATTGGACCGCAAGAGATTTGGGGTGCCGAATGTAGTGGGAATACCTACAACTTGAAAGAAACAAATAAACATATCCCAAAATTCAGACACAACGGATCAATATGGACCAATCCGCATCTGATATGCTCCAATTTCTTCCCAGAACTCGCAAGAAAATCAATCAGTCAATGGATTGGTTAAAGGGAAAATCTACAGGAAACCATAGATTTTCTCGTGAAATATAGGGCTTTCCTGTAAATTTTCCCTTAAACCAATCCATTGAATCAGCTAAGTGTACCAGGTACCAGGTTTCTGCCAGAATTGGACACTGACCGACCTCTTCTACCTGAGCGGAGCTGCCCACCTGATCACAAAATCATTGAACAAGGCCTTTGAAGCCAATCTATCTCAATCTGCAATATACAGTATATATAATATTAAAATGTATAATATTATAATATATATATACATATACATATATACATATACATATATACATATATATGCTATATATTTATATTATATACACACGATAGTTGATGATGTAGGTAAACACTTGGGAACCCTGAGGAATATACAGACCATCCGTTTTGGTATAGAAATCACTGCGATGGGCCGAGCCTCGCGTCCCAAGTTGCGTTGAGCTTTTTCTGCTGCTGCTGACCACTCCTAGACGCAGGAACATGTTTCCGGGTGATGCTCTCATACCATTAATCATACCATTACAATCGTGACTTTGATTCTTCATACCATTAGTACTAATACTGACTCTATACCATTGGTAATACGCCACTAGTAAAAATAACAATTAATATACCATTCAATACTAATATGGAGTAATATGGATGGAATAATCAATACAAGCACTAATGGTATGGGGATGGACTTAGTGACTGGATCACATCTCCTGTCTCAGTTGCGCTTCCCGCGCCAGGCAGCGCTGCAGCATGGCACCACCCTCCGCCGCGCTGCGCAACCTCAGATTGGAGGGAGCTGGGATCTTGTAGAGAAAACATGAGGAAACATAGGGGTGAAATGGTCAAACACGCTGACACTTTTCCATAAATAGGTTTAAGTATGTTTAACTAATTATCTACTAATTATCCGGAGTTTGTTTTTGTTTTAATGGAAAATTTATAGTAAACCCCAAATACAACCGTTGGACACCTGGAAAGTATGGGGGAAGCATCAGCTACAACATCCTGGCAAAAATCTGGAAACGCTCCTGTAATCTTCGTGGGGGTTCCACAGGAAACCCACGAATTTACCCTCCAGTAATTTAGCAATAGATATAGAAAACCCAGCATCTTTATTAGATGATATTAGATGATGTTACTTGGGCAGCAAGGATTGGGTTTGTTGTAGAACATCCAAAGACGTCAGGATTTCCTATCATTTTCTGTTGAACCGTTTCCGGAAAACCTGGTGGTTAAATGGGTTGTAAATTCTGCCGCATTTGGTTTCATGGGACGTAAAACACAAAGATAGATAATATATAGGAAAGAGGTGTCCTATTGTCCCTTAAATGATGGGAGCCCGGTGTACGACTAATTACCCCGAAATTGGAGATGAGTCTGCCTATGAAGGCCCACGTATATCGACACTTGAGGGGCGGATAACATGGCAGAACGTATCACATGTTCTTTTGTAGCTGCAATGCATACAATGAATGGCATTCATCTTTTATGTGCGATAAGTAGATATTCCAGAATCTTCAAGATACATGGGTTCATGAGTACATATTCTGAAATCATCAAAACAAATCTTCAAGCTGTGCATGCTGTGCAAGGGATTCTTGATGCCGGAATCGCATTCGAATTCTTTTCCGGAAGTGCCATCATCTGTGTACATAAATTACACAAACTATCATAAACTGTTCAATCTCAGTGCGGCAGCAAAACTATGCAAAACAGGTGCACGCAATCTGGGACAACAAAAATACAGCAATTCTCAAAAATTGGATGTTCCAAGGCCCCAAGTACTTCATTGTCATTGATCGTTTTTTGATATCTCTTTCGATATCTCAGAGTCCTCGCGTCTTCGGTTTTTTGACACATACACCACCCAAGAGAATTAACATCGAATCCACAAAGTGGGGCTGGAAGACTGTTCCAGATGTGGATGTGGCCATTTGTATCCATTTGTTCGTTCTGTCAATTACAGTTGTGGGTCCTGATCCATCCTGAAAATCTGCAGCCAAGGGGCAATTGCATGATCTGCTGTGGAGGCGGAGCTCGTGCGCGAAGCCGAACGCACTCGGCACGCCTGGGTCTTGCAGAGGTGCCGACTGTTCGATGGTTGAAGTTTCAGGTGACCCAGAATTCCGGGTAAATCATGGTAAATCCATGTAAATCCATCATTCCGGGTAAATCATGGCAAATCACCATGTAAATCATTGTAAATCCATCATTCAAAAACACATGTCGTGTAGTTGAGCAATTTTGAGCATATTTGATCCAAGTCCCGGACAAGGATTCTGCACGAGCTTCTGAGTCCTGCATTGGGGCCCAGGCCAGTGGCCTTTCCAAAACATCAATGGATCGGTAGAGAAGAACTACAGTTTTTTTTGAAGACAAGAATCTGGCTTCAGGTAGTTCTAAGATTCTACGAGGTCTTAAGAGTGTCAATATTGAGAATGGAAGAGGCACGAAATCGCAGAATATCGCAGAGCTATGCTTTGGTTTTGGACTGGTAGTGATATGTTCCCACTCCGAGAGAGTAGTTGCAAGAAGTGAGTCCGTCAAGAACATTCTCTCTGACATAGAAGATATAAAAGATGTATAGCAAACATTACATTCCAAGGCCAAACGGTGTTTTTGTGTCACTCCCCTCCTGCAATCTTTGTCGCAGGTCTTCAATGATGCTGTTCTTTGCCTACAGGTGACATGCAAGTCTCAACGCGTTTTACATCTCTGAACAAACATGACAGAAAATTATATAATGCAAATCCCTTTTGCTTGGAATTTGCAGCAAAATTAACAAATTCAAGACACATGTGGTCAAGAAGCGAACATTGGTAGAAATCAACATAATCAACACACACACACACACCTTTGGATGGTGGTTGAACCATGGTGAAAACATGGTTAAAACAAACACCTCCGTTTATAAGTTTTTATACCCAACCATATACAGCCTCAAGCCTAGTCACTCACCCACTGTTTCCAGGTGATTAACGGTGATCCAGCCCCTACCCATGTTCTACCGCCTCCAACATTGCCCGTAGATCAATCTCCGCTCTTGAAGATATGGTCTAAGTGGTGCAACCGCTGGACAATTCAGCCGAGTCGGAACGGCTGGAAGATCACTGGTGATGGCCGGACTTTGGAGGACTGGTGGAAGTAGTTGCACTATCCAGTTACGTCTTTCCAGTTTGGTTGGATGCGATGGAGCGGAAATGAGATGTTGAGTTTTTCTTTTCAGTTTTCATTGCAGCTGAAACAGCATGACTGCCACTGATTTGTATTGCTTATATAGATGATTGGATGATTGCATTCAGCACTTTCCAATGAATGGGAGGGTGGTCCGATCAACAAAGAAATTCCAGATTATTCCAGATTCTCCAAGGCAGTGATTATCCAATCATTGTCCAAATCATGATTAATTGGTGCCATGATTCCTTTAACAAAGGCTGCTATGTGCCCCTTCCTTGCGGCCGCCCTTTTTTGTGGCCCAAGTCGCCAGTGGCAACGGCGTGGTCGGGGGAGCCGAGTCGCAGGGCTCTGGAGTCAGCGGGGCCGTGGCCATGGATGGTAGGGAACCGGACATTTCCAGGAGATCTAGGAATCTAGTAGGTATCCCGTGGTATCCCCATTTGTATCCATTTGTAGTGATGTTGCAAACTGTTTAGTACCAAAGTAACCATGGCAATGGGTCACTTCATAGAGATCCACAATCTCTTCTCAATATCCCATGCATCTTTGGTGGGTCAAATCACCATGAAAAATGCTGAAATCTGGAGCCAAGAGGAGCTCGTTGATCCACCGTTGTGAAAAAATGCTGCCCTCTCAACATCTCAGCAAATGAATTGTCTACCATTGTCTACCAAACATATCGAAAACACATCAGAAATCCAACTCCCAAAACAACCCTGAAGCTGTCAGTTCAGCGCTCAGGGGGGTCTCACCAACTCTTTCTTTGGGCCGTTGATGAAACAGCCGCTGGAGTCGAATGAAACCTTGGTCTGCAGGACCATGCCAAAACAGTTTAAAGTTTACAGTAATAATTACCATCATACTAGATCATACTAGCTTACAATTGCTATTTCTTACCCCTAGTCATGGGGGATGATTCTTTTGATGTATAGGGGTCAGAGGAAGACCACATCATGAACGTGATAATTCACACTCCACACCGTACAAATATCGGTCGTAGGAGCCTAGATTCCACACCATACAAATATCGGTCGTAGGAGCCTAGATTCCTAGATCAAATGACCATCACAAACCTACATTTGTCGATGTAACAAAGCAAAACGTCTCCTTTTGCACAAGCTGCCCGTCTGAGGAACAATTTGTAGGTCCCAAGTTCTGAGTTCTGACGATCCATCCTCAAGTGATGTCTTGAAAAGTTCACCCCAAAATTCCTATTGTCAATATTGATTGATCATATTTTTTCCCCTATGAAAACTGCCATTTTGGGGTATACCACATTTTCAGTCACACCCAATTGGATGTCCCCCGGTGTATACCCCATCTCTTTTTTCAGGCCCCAGAAAATCAACATTGCTACCAGTTAAATTACCCAGTCAAAATCTTCAGACAAACCCAACTGCTTCACACAATTCTTTGACCAAGTGGCACTCTCTGTCTCTTCGGGTCCCAGCAAAAGTCCCGACGAGCTGGTCGAGATGCCCTGAAAGAAAACATCGCGGCATAAAGCAACGTTCGACACACATCCAAAATGCACAAAGATATGCATGACAATTATGTAATATTATATTATATATACATGTTATGTATCATATATATATATATTATACATACACATATTCTATATATATATATGCATGTACGTAGTATACGTGTTATATGTATGTATTATATATATACATTATGCATTATATCTATAAATGTATTATACGGATGTATTATATATATAATTATGTGTAAAGTATAATCATAGATTCAAATTAAATATGTACACCCTTCAGATATATTTTTGCGTTGGACTCCCAACAACACTTGAAGCAAAACTCCACCAGTCACTGATCAACTTGGCCCTCCCGGAGATGGTTCCGGTAGGGAGTCCCAACCCTAAACTATGACCTATGAGGTGGTTCAAACCCATACAGAATCCCTACCAGAAGATTTTTTGGAAATAGTATGCATGCGACATTCTTTGGGTAAAAGGGGCCCGGCAACGCTCAAACCATTGGAATGAAGACTCAATCAAGGTATTTGACAGTGATTTCGTGAAGCAATCGTAAGGAAATACAGTGGATGCTAGGCCTGTTGAAAATGGCAACTTCTAGAAGACCTCAACTTTCATCCTCACTCAAGTGCAATTTGTGGATTGCCCCATGGATATACTTCCCTTCATATCCATCATGTTGGAACAGCCCCAAAATATCCCAATTTCACAATGCTGAGACATGAATACCTGACATTACCTGACACATGACCTGACACATGACCTGAAATATCCAGGGAGACCGACTGTCGGCTCCATTACCACACTCCAGGGAGCCCAGGCCACTCGTACCAAGTGTTTTGGCTTTGGCCCTGGCGCACGACCTTGGGGTTCAGCCAGATTTTTCACCTGGCACAGGTGACAGCTGTAGGATGCACTGAAGCAGTTCGGATCAAATCCCATCTGGAATCTCAAAATAGCATAGGATAGCATCATATATAATTATAAGATAGCATAAGATAGCCATGTCGCACAAAGTTTTAGCGCATCTTCACTTTCAATCATCCATTTTTACCTGGACGCAGCTGCCTCTGCGATCATCACCTCGAAGAAATATCTCCCTGCCTGTCGAATCACAGCTGGCAGCTGAGTATGGGAAGCCACCCAAAAATAAATGGAATACAGTAAGGTACATGGCAAAATGAGGATGAAAACCCCTCCAAAAACAAACCACAAACAGCGATAAATCACTATAACATACTATAACCATGATATACTTTTTCAGGAGCTAACCAAACAAGCCATCACCCAACTAACTAAACAATACTAAACATATATGGCAGTGTGTCAAAACCTTGTACCCCTGGTGAACATCAAAATAGCTGGTAAATGGATGTTCATCCCCCTAAAAATGGTATTAATAGGTATTGATCCATACCCATATGAACATCACCCAATAGTTGGGACATCCACAACTACTACCGGCCGCTGGTTTCATGTTTTGCGCGTCGAAAACCAATCGATTCAAACAGCGGCACCTTGATGCCCACATTCGCACGAGCCCCTGCCAAGAGGTACTGAAAGCCTCCATCGCCCAAGGCCTGGCTGAGGCTTGAAGAGACACGTTTTGTCATTGATGATATTTGGATATATTTGGATGATTCAATGATATTTGATGATCATTTTTTTCATGATGGGGATGATAGTGATCACTATCGTCATATATATATATTAATATATATATATATATATTAATATATATATATATATTCACATATCATGTCAGGTCCTCCGGTTTTTGCCGGTGATAGCGATTGCGTTCAGATTCCACAGCGTTCAGCGCTCCAGGGCCGCGGCCATCAAGAGCTTTCCGTTGACCGTTGGTAGGACCTCAGCCATAACTTGGGGAGTAATCTGGTAAACCCAATCACCAAATATCACCAAATATCACCAAGCCTCACCAAGCCTCACCATTGTAGGTGGATGTAGGTGGTATATATAAAATTATATAAACATCATCACCATTGTAGGTGGTATAAACATCATGTATAAGCCATCCCCGGTGGTCATGGATGGTCATGGATCCCCTGGATGATCCCCTGGATGATCCCCTGGATCCCCCTGCGTTCATGGTGGTATCCTCGGTCAGGAAGCAGCATTGGCCAGCCTGGCGATGGCCCCGAAGGCACGGCACGTGTCAGGCACGTGTCTCCTTGGAACTTACGTGTGATCACACTCTGGCGTGGTTTTATATATGGGTTTTATAGGGATTTTAATGATGTTTTATGGAGTTCCGGAGTTCCCACAACAGGACCAATATCAATATCTCATCAACTTCCCCAAACATCGGCTTTTTCAGCGCCTTGAGAAAGGGCTGGGCCTTTCCAGCATCGGTCTCCAGCTCCTGGTCATGGAAACAGGATGAAAGAGGGATACCTCAAATATCCTCAAATGCCCCAAATCTATGCAGATCCAGCAATATCATATGGATCCATATGGTACATCCATGATATTCCATGATCATCTTGGTGACTTAGGGAAAACACATGGTCACCCTCCCACCCCTTGTTCTTTGAACAGATTCGACTCGAGTTTCAAGTCCACACCACATTCTGCGTTTCTTTGCCGCAGCTTTCGAGATGCTCAATGAAAGATCTTCAAAGCATCTCTGATTGAGTGCCTTTGTCCACATCCAAGACTCAGTCTTGACAGTTGCATGCGATTTCAGCACGTCGCATCTTCCTTTGCCGGTGAAAAAGGACGAAAGGTTGACCAAATCGTGGACCAAATCGAACTTCACCGCGCTGTGCGTCTCCACTTTGTCCATCAAATGGTGGGCCCCAACCTGGCCAGTGCCAGCTCCAGGGCTATGCCTTGCTATCGCTCTTGCTGGCATACCTGGATGCTGGACATCTGAGGGCATCAAATGGCAGAATCACAGTGGCACTAGCCAGGAGAATTTGTCCAACAAAAGATACATGTCTGAATCGGTGGTAACGGTGGTAACTGGTAACCCGGTAAGCTCATCGGCAACACAAAGAACACTGACTGATTGGTTCATCTGCATCCAGGCTGCGCCCGGTGCGATTTTACTGAAAGGAAGTGACTGTTGTCCAAGCTCGTCAACGGCTTGTCCCAGTTCTTGGGCAACAGCAAGGCAGTGAGTTTGTCTCCATAAACGGCACCTATGTGTCAGCAAACTGGGGGCGGCCCAAAAATGTCTACAGTATACAAATACAGGCTAATAAAGCACATCACTAACAATCATTAAAATATCATATATATATAATTATACATATCTTTATATGTGCATATATATATATTTGATATATTCAATTAAATTCAACACATATTGCGCTCCTTTTAATGGGCGTATTGCCAGCCACAACTCACATCAACTCTCTGGGCTGGCGCCTGTGTCTAAGCCGATAGCGAAGGCTTCTTTCTGCAATCCTCTGCGAGCGTCGTGTCCAAAGATCACCTCACGTCACTGAAAACAAGCTTCGTTTAAACGTAACCTAAGCCTTCAATGAAAATAAAAGCTGAAAAAATGGATTGAAGGTCAAATCCTCTGAATCTGAAAAAACACGTATGAAATTCATATATTGTTGATCGATCTTGATGGCTTCATTCCATCCCAATGAAGATTGGTCACTCTACATGGGTCATCCTAGCTTGAGATCGAACAGCCAAACTAAAAACACGTTTACAAAAAAGTCAACCAGCCACATCTTCAGTATTGCTGGATACACCAAACTCTGAGGCCCATCGAGGC